GGGGGGGGTCATTTGCAGCTTATAAAATATACATTTGGCCTCAGAAGTGCGGGCCAGCAGTCGCACTCGCATCGAGCGCAGTGTCACTCCTGAGCCTGCCTCCCCTGACCATCTCTTCCTCCTCCTCGCCCCCACCCCCTTCCCAATCCCCTTCCCTCTAGTCTGTCTTTAACAGCCCCCCCCCCCTTTTGTTTCCTCCCCTCCCTCTCCGCTGGGTACCTCAGGCGGGGGGGGGGGGGGGGGGCAGCAGCAAGCTAAGCGGCACAGGGGTCAGACTCAGCTGCTGGTCTTAGAGCACCGGCAGAGGGGAGGTGGGGAGCAGAGGGGAGAGAGAGAGAAAGAGAGAGAGCGAGAGAGAGCGAGAGAGAGAGCGAGAGAGAGAGAGAGGAGGCAGAGATGTCAGAAGATGTGGTTTCCCTGAGCTTCAGCGAGCGTCCCCGATGCACACTTTGAGGAAGACAGGAGGCGAAGCAGCACGCTGCACGCTGCACGCCGCTCACACAGGCTGCCTGGCTGCGACGGGGCGGGGGGGGCCAGGCCAACACAGCGAGACAAGCCGATCTGCCTGGGGGGGTACACACTTTACTGCCGCAGGGTCGTCTTCACTTTCAAAGCCTGCAGCCGCAAAAGCCCCTTCGTCTGCTTGGATCTGGGGGGGTGGGGGGGAGCGTGGATGGTCTGCATGGACTGAGGCAACACCACCCTCCTGGAGATGAGTGGAGACTTCACAGCTGCCTGTCGCTGATCTCTGAGACAAACCTGTAGTCGGCGATCTTCTAAGCAGGTAACCTTGTTTATTTTATTCTTTTTTCCTGTGACTCAAAACGGTCAGCTTATTTCACATGTGACTGGATAAAAAAGACCCATGTAGATGATACAGAGTGAAAGTGCTTTAAAACTTGGAATTTGCACATACTTTACTCACTACTGTTCTAATGCAATAAAGAAAGAGGCTGAACCAGGGGCAATTTCACTATTTGGGGTCTCAGACCCCAAGAAATACGGGATTTAGACTATGTGGATTTAAAATAATGATTTTTCAGACAAAAAACAGGATGGCTGAAACCCAAATATACGGTCTGTGAGCTGGAGCACGGTTCAAGAGAAAATGCAATACAGCCGCAGGTTAGTGAGCGCGCGACGCCTCTGTAGGGAATGCGAACGTAAACACGGGAACGAGCCGAATGAGTGACAGAGCCTGGAAAGAGCCTGTAAACACGGAAGCGAGCCGAGCGGGTGACAGAGTCCGGAATGAGCCTGTAAACACGGGAGCGAGCCGAGCGGGTGACAGAGCCCGGAATGAGCCTGTAAACACGGGAGCGAGCCGAGCGGGTGACAGAGCACGGCGCCTTGCACGTGCGGCGTGCCGCGAGGGCAGAGCATCCCGACGTTAACACCTGGCCCCGCCGCCCGCTCTCCCGCAGAGCCTCAAATGAGATGCGGGCGACACAGTAAATTGCGTCTGTGTCAGTCGGGGAGGGACTGCCGGCTTCACCATGAGGGCTCGCCGGGCTGCCTTTAATCAGCTCCAGCCGGCGTGCCGAGAACTTAACTGTTTCAACGCGCCACGGACCGGAGATTCAGCGTCGCCTGAAAATCTGGGGCAAAGGGTCTCCTGCTGTAGCCCGTGTCTCCACACCCAGGTAGCAAAGTCATTTTGGTTAGATATTTACATCCAGAAATTTGTCGGAAAATATTCGTTTGCTTAAAACACACTTCTAAAATCTCACTTGCACAACTTGTTGGCGTACTTTCTACCTATTTGTGTACCTGCCTCATTAGTTAAACGATATAAATAAATCATCCTGTAAGGCATACTGGAAATGCCCTTCCTGGAAGTTGACCAGCTGCGTTTCTATTTAATGGTTCCTTTTCTCAACCGCTACATTACACTGCTATTTTAAGCAATCTTGCATGAACTTCATTTTTAGATAACCAAGACTAACACAGAAAGCATATTCACTTTATAGCTGATAATGCATATAGTTCATAATTTAATAGCCTACTTGAGCAACCAGCCCCCCACCCCCTACCAACACCACTACACAGCAGTCAGAAAGATTTCCTGATTTTTCCATAAAGTCTAGGAGAATGATTATAATAACACCACATTATGTGATATTTGTTAAATCAGTGCTCATTGTGAATAATGTAACTTTAATCAGAATGAATTGGAGGTGTGCTTTCAGGAAAGGAAGAACGTATGAGGAGAATTCAAAGTAATGTTCCCCATTTGTGAATTAATCATTTCCCTCAGCCTAAATTTAGAAGAAGCATTTAAATGTGCTCATTGTCTGGCATCTACTGTAGGTGGGTGACGATATTTTTCTGTGTTTCACTTAAAGGACCAGCACAACTGATTACACAGACATCTATTGCAAATTTGTTTTTTGTTTTTTTTTTCAAATTGACAGCTTGATCTTTTTCTAGACTTTACTATCTGACATTATAATGAGCCTGTTCACATGGATGACATTAATCATAAAATTTCCATCAGCCAACAAAAAAATGGTTGCCATTTCAGTAAATCTGAAGGGGTTAAACAAAAAAGCACCCCCCCCCATCAACTTTTCACTCTTTACTGGAGCAAATTTAGCCCCTTCAGAGTCACGGAGGGGAAAAAAGCTGTATTGATCTTATCATGTTCACCTCAGACATGTCAATATTGTGTCTGAAGTGCACTTGCTCTCTGTTAATGTACATTAGTAGACACTGGGGGGTGGGTTCATTTTAACACCAGTCAAAGGGTGGAAGTGCCGGGGGGGGGCGGGGAACTTTGTCCTACCCATCTGCCCCAGTTAAATAAAGTTAATTTAAATTAAATGATAAAAAAATAATGATAAGTCAGACCCTTTTAGATTTATTGGCCTTGTGACAACTGGCCATTTATTATTGTATGATTTAAAATTATAAGCAGTCTCAGCCTCTGGGGTTTTAGATTCATTATAACTGACATGCTGCTTTATTAGTATTTTATTAGCTGATAAAAAATGTTCTGTTTATCAGTCATCTTAAAGGAATTTGGTCTCTTTATTATATGGCCATGTATTTTAAAATGCTTGAAATCTCGGATTTTCCTCTTTCTGAAATGCATCACGCAACGTGTTCTGTGCTCAAAAACAGGGGGGGAATCACAAACGCATACAGAATATGAACGGCCAGGAAGAAGAAAATGCCATAATGGCTAACATGCTATCAACGAGTCTTAAAAAAAACTATTATGCTGGAGAGATGGCTGTCCTTTATTCTCCTAAGGATAGAGTAGTCAAGAGGCTGGTTCCCATGGCAATAGCTTGCTGCATTTCTGTTTAATTTACTGGCACAGGGCTGTGCTTGGGCCTTGAGACGATAAATGGGCAGCCCTTGGGGTGCGGGGAGAACCCCGGGCCTGCTCCCTCCTTCCAAACACGCCGTGGCCGTCCTCCCTGAGAGTGCCACCTCCTTTCATACATCTCGCTCCATCTCTGCCTTTAAACGATGCATCAAGGCAGGCAGCCCTCAGCTTCCTATCTTTGCATATCGTTTCATCATCTCAGCTACGCTCTGTTACCACGAGAGGAGCATGTTCCGGAAACGCGGCCACGCCGCTGCGTTCCAGCCGAGGCTCTCGGTGAAGTCACTTGCTTAAAAAATACCCATGAGTGTGCGTGCGTTTGTGTGTCTGCGAGTTTCGACCCAGCAGCTTGAGAATAGCATTGTTGAGCGTTCATATTCGCCATACATTTCAGCACCATCAAACAGTAAATTACCACAGCACTCAACAGGTCACTGAACTCCCAGCACTCCTGCTGCTCAAAAGATGGAGACCGAAAAAAAAATTTGATTTCAAATGGCCATTCAGGCAAGATAGAAGGATAGACCTAAAGTGAAATAAACTGTGGAGGCCTGTTTTAATTGAGTAGAGATATTTTCAACTCTGTCCTCCTGCAGATGTGACCTCTGACCTTTCACTCCTGTACAGTCGCAGTATCCAGAGCAGCCCGCCCTCTCACTTTTCTTCTCCTGAGACCACTTGCCTTTTCCTCTCCCCCCCCTAGCCTACCCCCTGCCTTTCCTTTCACCCCACCCCTTGTCTCTCTCCTAACTGGGCGTGGGGCATCCAGGATAGGAGAGACAAGGGTTGGGATTTTTTAAGAGGGATCATAATTCATACAGGGGGCCCAACTTTACCATTAGCCAATGATATATTTTGAATCGGTGAGTGACGGGAGGAGGAGCACTCCAGGAACCAATCAGCTTTCAGTTGAGGCCAGTGTCCCTATGGCCCCACCCATTCATATGCCCCTGGATGAGAGATATACAAAGAGGTGGTTCTACCTTTCAAAGCTGCGGCAGTTTTTAACTTTGAACACTTATTAAATAAAACACAGAGTAAGTAAAAGAAAGCTATAGTTAGCTCCGTACTCTTAATAGATTTGATAACTAATTCCATTCATCCATTTTTCATAGCCTCTCATGCACTGCAGGGTTGCAGTGAGCCTGCACTGTATCCCAGGGCATGAGGCAGGGGACTCCCAGGATGCACTGCCAGTCCGTCACAAGGCACAAACATCCCCACACAAAACCTCAGATCCATTTACCTCCTAACTTACCGGCCATATCTGCACAACTTCGTAATGCCAATTTAAATACCACTGTCCTTCTCTGCATTTACATGAGTTTCTAAACCCAGGATGTGACTTAAACGCCGGTCGTTTAGCCAATTTGTCAGCAAAGTTTCATTTTATTAAATGATTAAACCGGCGGGGGGAGAGATGAAATCACTTCCTTCTCAGAGCAGTGGGAGCAGTGCTGAATGGGGGCCCCATGGTAGGTCACACCGGGGGGGACATTTGGGAAAACACAGCAGTTTGCCGTGTGCCATTAGGTCAGCGCTTCCTGCGTCTGCTACGAACACGGCAAACTGGCCCCTGTGTTTCTGTCTATGGTATAATTCCGCTTTGCCTCGCGGGAACATTCCTGGCATAGCGTTTAATTAAGCCGGTATTCTGTTTTGAAATCGTCTGCTTGCGCCACGGTAGCTAGGAGGTCAGTGGACACAGCTGGTATTCATATCTGGTAGGCATCTGAAATTATTGTGTGATGGTATCTGTGCATTTGATGCTACGCCTCCCTCGTTTCATCTGTTTTCCATCACTGCTTATCCAGTGCAGGGTCATGGGGGCAGGTGGGGGGTTGTGGGGGGGTGGAGCTGGAGCCTATTTCAGGAAGCACAGGGCACAACGCTGGGGAAACCCTGGACTGAATGGAGGAAACTGTGTTGCCCTTTTAAACACTCAGTCAGTTTAATAAATGCTTAATAATTGCACAATGGGACAATGGATTAATGGACTCTTTTATTGTTGCGGGATTGTTTGCGTACATCTGTGGAGCTGAATCGATTTCCAGCTGTCCAGTGCGTCAGGCGCAAAAATGTAGAGGTCACAGCACGACCTTTAACCTAAATGAACCTCACTCTCCTTCTCTCTCTTTCTCACTCTTGTTCTCTCACTCTATGAAACACAAAGTGTGGATGCAATGCAGAGATCCCAGTGAATAGTCATGCTGCAATTATGAATTCCCACTTCCTTTGACTGATCTAAAAATAAAAAAAGAGAGAGAACACCTTGGTGCACTGGTGCATCCACACACAATGCAAATCAGGCAATTCGCTGAAGTTTGTTATTCTCTTCTTTCGTTTTTTCTGACTTTTTTCCCCTCCCTTTGTTCTGACTGATTCCAGCCCAGTAAGATTACTTAGTGAGCCTCCCACTGGATTAACAGAGAGGGAGCGAAAAACACGCCACGAGGAGCGCGGCGGAGACACACTGTTTAACTGTTACTGTTGGCTGCTTCACTATCTGTCTCTAATAAGGTCTGGCCATGTTTCCCTAACTTTGAAGGCAGAGGAGGGCTGGTGGTTTATGTATTAGCAGAATGATTAGAGAGCCAGCTGCTCAGTGGCTGTTTACAACAGGAACTTTTTTTTCTGTGTAAATTCTTGATAGGATTTTTCTGGTCTTGGAAGATAAAGACTCTCCCCTTTCAGTTTTTGAAATGTTTTAAAGAAAACAGCCACTCCTTAGGCACGGCTGCCGTTTCCCCTCAAAAGAACCTCTGAGGTCGCCGGTGATTTGCTCAGTGACTGTGCATGTGTGCATTGCTGCAAAGCTGTGACCTGAGGAGTATTAATGATCAGTAATGCCAGGACCCTCCCCACGCCCCCCCCCCCCCCTCTCATTCTCAAGATGCATTTACTCTTTTCATAATTACTCCTTCCATGGTGGATTTTACTCTATCGATCCTTCCTCCTCTTCAGTTCGGTTCATTACTTGACTCCTCCCCGCTCTCCTTTCCCTCTCCTCAGACTAGCCGCCAGCTTGAATCGGCGCGGCGTAATTAGCAGCCGGCGTAATAAAGCACGCTTCTCTCATCAGCCACTCCCCGGGGTTAATCAGCTGTGCCTCTCATATTGCCCGCTATCGGCAGACCCAGTGGAAAAGCCACACCTCTGTCACGACGCATTTGCATGACGGGCAGCCCGTGGCCCCGTGCCGGCCTTCCATGCCTGATTCCACACTTAATTCTACACCTGCAGGAACAGCAGCAGCACCCGCGAAAAATAACGCTCGTTTACATCAGGAATACCTACTTATTGAATTATTTATTCATTGTTTATTTATTCATAAGTTCATATCCAGCATGCCGTTCTTTATTGGGTTCCCCCACAAAGGCCCTAGAGGGTGAGAAGGTCCGTGTATCTGCGTGTGTTCCAGTCGTAGCCAGATGCTGCGCTGAAGACACCAGATGAAGCTTTCTGGAGGATCTCGTGGCCAGACAGAGGACCCCAGCTGTGGACTTACTCCTTGCCCTCCCCTCTCTCTCATCAGGTGGCCGATAGACGAAGAAGAGATGGGCTGCAAGCTGCCCAAGCTGAAGCGGACTGAGGATAGCAGCCCAGGAAAGATTTATTCCACCCTCAAGCGACCGCAGGTGGAGACCAAAGTGGGGGTGGTCTACACCTACCGCTTCCTGGACTTTATTCTGGGGAAAGACGGTAAGTCGTCTATGTGTCTGGGTGTGGGGGTAGGAAGGACATTTCTTTGAATCAATACCGTGTGGGTTGGGGAAGCCGCGCTCTATTGGAAACAACTGCTGGCGAGAAATGCTTTTTCGAGAATGCATCGCTGGGGAGGTTGGAGGACTTTTCAAACATGAAATATTTTACAGATGCTTCAACTAGGCATGTGTGTGTGGGGGGGGGGGGGGGCTTAGGAACCTGCAGTTTTATAGCTGAAAATGAAACACACCCTTTGACCCGGGTGAATTCTCTATTGCTTGGTCACGCCAGCAACTTTAACCATCTGAGTGTGAGTGTATTTTTAATCATTTAATCAACAGCTAATTTCTGCTGAAGGGGTGCTCTGGGAGGGGACTGTTGATTTCCAATAAAATCTGTGCCAATCTCTGTGTCAAACACTGTGTTTACATAATGACACCTGTAGTAATTGAAGATTGAAGCCCATGTACAGCCTCCCCCCTCCCTCCCCATTTTGCATCAATAAAAATCAGTGCCTGTGGTTTGCTAAGCTGCCCCCCCCCCCCCTCTGAAGATGCCACCCTGGACAATTGCGCATATCGAATTTAAAGACACAAATTCATAAAATCTCCTCCTATTTTCTTCTTCTCCTCTTTCACTGATGCCTTAAGGGACATGTGATTCGCGGTGTTTTGCAGGCCTGCCGTTGTTGTCTGATGTCAACAGCCGGGTACCCCATGTCAATGGGTAATACTCGCACTAAATATAGTAATTCCACATTTCTCACAAAGCGGATTGAGAGCAGCCTGTCAGCAGAGCTGTGAGGCTCATTTTATCCTGCCGTCCTCCGTGACGCCGCTGCCTCATGTTCGAATTAATCCTGCGCTATGCTTCCGTACATGATACAAAAAGAGAAAATGATCGTGAAAATCCAACCCAGGCCTCACAGCTTAATGTAAAGCCAGGCTGGCGATTCCCAGTCCTATCTGACAGACCTTCGATGCATTCCTTTCCTACGATGCGTACTAATTTGCCCAATTTGCATCACAGTGGGCTTTGAATTTAACTGGAATCTAATGCAGGCAGCTCGTCTTTGAAAAAGCACATTTTATGATGTCCCAGAAATTATTTACCTTATGATTCTTCCTCTTTCTTTTTTTTTTTGTAAAATGCAGCCAGTGTAAAAGCATTTGACCTCCTGACAATTTATGCAAACTAGATTGTCTGCATGAAATTTGGTGTAATTTGGCCCAAATTAAAATATAATGACAACCTGCAACCAGAACAAGGTTATAATGACTTTGGAGATTTTTTCTAATTGCTTCTGATATACTTGTGTCTAGATACATTTGTGTCAAAACTGTTTAGCATCAATGCGACCATTGCTGTAGAATACAGCAAATTGCAGTCAGTGGCTTCAGTGTTTTTATAAGCCTGGCAATGCGTGTCCGATTACTATAATTATTAGCAATGAATCTCAGTAAACAAAATATATAGGGCCAGATATGAGGCCTTATATGGAAAGATCATGAATCCAAGCAACGACAAAGCCTTGGTAATACTCTGTCGCCATGACTACTGTGTGTAAGCATCTCCCAGGGAGACACACCACAGCAAAGCTAGCAAAGCCCCCCCAGCGCCGTTTCTTTGCCCTCGGTCAGATAAACGACCAAAATCCCCTCTTCCCCACTCTGGGTCATGTCAAGTCAAAGAAATCACCGTTCCAAAGTTATGATTAATGATTTTTAAAAAGTACAGCACTAAATATTTCTACTAAATTTGATCTGCAAGAACAATCAATCATTTTGTTGCCGCATGTTCTTGCGTACAGAGAGAAAGCACCAGGAGCGTAAAGGCACCTCGTCACACTGGACTGGGACTCAATGCGAGAAATCCATTTACTCCAAGGACAGGCCGAGTTCAGGATTCCTGAAGTTAAGTCTGTCAGCTGTGTATGTAAAGGCATGTAGCTGACCACTGGGATTTCATTTAGACTCACACCCCGTCTGGAAGAGAAGAAGCAAGTGTTTTCAATGAGCAACACATTCGGTTAAATGCCGTTTTATTTCCATTTATGGCATTTGCGTTCCATGACCGCATGATGCATTATCCTCGTAATGTAAACGTAATGGGCTGGCTATCACATGCACTCAGCCTTTCCAAAGGGCCATATAGCGTTAGCGGCAGAATTACGAGGACTATCATAATGGAAGCCTGTTAGCGACAGAATTACGAGGACTATCGTAATGGAAGCCTACTTTCAGAGTCTTCTGCTCCACTTGGAGTATCTCAGGTTTTTCAGGCAGGCTGACGTAAACTCGTCCGTGAGAGATTCTCCCAAGTTTTCCTTGTGCCCAACCAGTAGTGTTAATTTCGTCACCTATTTTTAATTTAGTCTTAGTCTTAGTCTTA